TGTAATGAGGCTCATTAGCCAGGACTCAGCACTGCAAAGAAGTGCAGGGCACAGCGTGGGACGCTCTCAGGCTTTGTAAGGGAAAGAGCCTGTGGTCTCAGTCTGTCTGGTCGGGAAAGAATGGCCAGAGGAGGTGGCATTCAGCTAAGCGGGAAAGGAATAGTGTTCAATGCAGAGAGAGTAGCATTTTCTAAGGGCTCAGGCAGGAGGGAGCATAGCATCTTGGGGGACATGGAGAGGGTTTTGAGTTGGCTATGCGGTTGGGTTAGGGTGGGGGTGGCAGGAAATGAGACTGCAGACAAGGGCTGGGCCTCGGTTCCTTGGCCTCAGGGAGGACTGGAAGGGGTTTTGACTTGATCCCTGGGGCACCAGAAGAAAGCCACCGAAGGGTGCTAACCGGGCTGGTCGCGTGGGCACACCTGCATCTGAACATGTGGTGGAATGTGCATGCCGGACGGGAGGCCGGCCTGGGGGACCAGAACACAGGCAGCGGAGGCAGGAGGTGTTGGGAAACCCTGGAGGGCTGTGTATCAATCAGCTCCAGTCCAGCTTCCAAAGGGTGACGCACGTGCATCACTTGGTCGGAGCTCTGGGAGGGCAGGGACTTTGCCACGTTTGTCCTGTGCCGTATCCTCGGTGCCTGGCACGTAGCAGGTGTCCGGGACGTGGGGGAAGCGTGACAGCCTGCTACGTACAGCCTGCAGTGGCACGTCAAAGCCTGTTCCATCCACCACCATGGCTGCCACAGCCCCTGAGCCCTGGGGTTTCCACTGCTCACAGCGCAACTCAGCCCAGCCCCACTGCGTGTCAGAGCACCACAGACGCCGGTCCTCTGGGGACAGTAGCCCACGTGTGACCTCAGGAGTGCACTGGCCGCACAACCTGTGTCCCCCAACACTGTGGCCCACTCAGCAGCCACAGCCAGGGCTGCAGGACCTGAGGGTTCCATCGTCAGCCAAGATGCGGCCACTTCTCCGCAGCCAGATCCAGATCACTTGGGTTTTGCCCTGAATTCATCGTCTCCAGATTTATAAGGCATCACAGGTGTTTACTTCTAGGAGAATTTGCTTATTTTGGATGAAGAATTGGGGCTTAGCCTGGGGCCCCAGGAGTCCTTAAATGGGATTCCCATGGGGAATGGAGCCATCAGCTGAGTGCTTTGTGATTACAAGCAAGAAGGGGCTCCTGTTTACACCCCACGCGTGGGCTTGGCAAGCAGCCTGGAGGCCACTGGCAGCTCTGGGCCGTGAAGCCCACAGCTGGGACTTGGTGCCTTCCAGGTCCCTTTCAGTGGCATCCGGGAGCCCAAGGCAGCGGGAGGCAGGGAGGACAGTGTGGGGCAGCTGAACTACAGACAGCTGAAGGGGAAGTTAGGACCTGCGGGGGCGGAAGACGGTTTCCATGAAGAAATAAGGGGCAGTTGGGCCAGGGCAGTGGCAGAGCGAGGGGTGTGCCTGCCACCCCAGAGCAGTGGTTGCGTGGCCGCTGGTACCAGGCAGGCCACGAAATGATCTCAAGTGTCAGAATTCTCACTGAGGGTAATGGGGACTGGGTGGATGGTATGGCCTGGAAGTGTTTCCAGCTCTTTCCGTGGTTCCTTCTGCCCCAGAGCAGGACCATTGCCCCTCCATACTGTGGAATCCAATGACATAGAATGTTCCAGAGGCATTGCACAAGACAAAGGGCAGAGTCTCGCTGGCGTGAGCAGGTCCAGCCTGCCAAGGCTCCTGCACTGGAGCCCTCTCCGAATCTGAGCTGCTGTGCTTTTGGTCAGTGCACACACTGGGCAGCTCACAAAGCGCTTCCATGTGGATGGCCTCACCTGAGCTCCTGGCGTTTCCCAGGGAGCCAGCCGAGGAGGAGGAGCCAGTCGAGCCGCCGTAGCCCTGTGCCCCTGGGCACACTGCTTGACCTCACTGAGCCTCAGTTTCCCAGAAGAGTGTCCCGAGAAGCTGGTCACCCGGCTCTGGGGCCCCAGACGTGACCCTTGGTTGTTGGACTGACCAGTTTACACATCCAGTCGTGTGTGCAACCGGCAGCGTGAGCTGTGTGTTTGGGATGGAATCCGTGTAACCGGTTGTGGGACGGTGCATGGAGACACCGAGCCTCGATTGCCTGTTCAGGCCAGGCTCACAGACATGGGGTTCGCACAATTCACGTCACCTTTGGTTTGCCCGGGCCCACCGCCTGTGTGCCCACACTGAGCATCCACAAGGGGGCAGCGGCCTTGGTCATTCCAGACCCTTGTACACATTCCTTTAAAAGTGATAGAAAACCAGAACGCCCTCCTCAGGAAATGATTCTAACTTTGTATGATGTTTCATTGAACCATTTAAAAGTGATAGTCCTTAGCCCCAAATACGGCAGGATGAATCACCTAAACGTGGATGTTCCCCTTCATCACCTCAGTAAACACTGTTAAAAATTAATGATGATTTTTTATGATCCAGAACCCAGGCTTTTTTTAATGTTTATTTATTTTGAGAGAGAGAGAGCACAAATGGGGAAGGGACAGAGAGAAAAGGAGAGAGAGAGAATTCCAAGCAGGCTCCATGCTGTCAGCTCAGAGCCTGACCCAGGGCTCAAACCCATGAACCATGAGATCATGCCCTGAGCCGACTTCAAGAGTCAGTCACTTAACCGGCTGAGCCACCCAGGTGCCCCTAGTACTGTGTTTTGTCAGAGTTCCTCTAGTTGTCCCAAAACTATTTTTGTAGCTTTAAAAAAAAACAAAACAAAACGGGTGCCTGGGAGGCTCAGTCGGTTAAGCATCTGACTGCAGCCCAAGTCATGATCTCACGGTCCGTGGGTTTGAGACTTCGCCTCAGGTCACGATCTCATGGTTTGTGGGTTCGAGCCTCACATCGGGCTCTGTGCTGACAGCTCAGAGCCTGGAGCCTGCTTCTGCTTCTGGGTCTCCCTCTCTCTCTGCCCCCCCCCCCGGCCCCACATTCACACTCTGTCTCTCTCTGTCTCTCAAAAATAAATAAATGTTAAAAAAAAATTTTTTTTTTAACAAACAAACAGGATCCAGTCAAGGTATTTGCATTTGGCTGTTATTTCTCTTCAGTCTACGTCAAGAACAGTTTTTTGTTTTTTGTTTTTTTCCCCATGACATTGACTGATTTAAAGGCTGGGCCAGTTGTCCTGTGGAAGGTCCTATATTCTGAATTTATCTGATTGTTTCCTAATACTGTGGTTTAGTCTGAATTTATCTGATTGTTTCCTCATCCTGTGGGTTAGCTCATTTCTCTGTCCCTCATCTTTTCTGTATGTTGGAAGCTAGGTCTACAGGCTTCATCAGATCCTTTCAGGTCAAACATTTTTGGCAGGATTCCTTCACAGGGGATGTCGAGTGTTCCATATGGTGCCGTACTGGGAAGCCAGTGCCAGTCTGTACCTCTCTGAGCGATGCTGGGTTTGGTCACTGCTTGGGGTGATCACCAGATCCTCCCCTCATCAGGGCACATTGGGAGGTCATCCACGGGGAGGGCCTTCAGCACCATGGGACTTACCGTGTTCCCTAATACCTTTCTTGCTTGTAGCATCCACTGATAATGCGGGTTGCAACGTGGTGGTCTTCTGTTATCCCCGGACAGCCTCATGTATCTGCTACATGTGTGGGCATTTTCATGCAGTGTCGGCATGGGGCCTGGCTGTGACCACGGTCAGGTGCGCAGGAGGTGCTGTCACCAAGCTCCCTGCGGTCTGCTGTGCTCAAAGCAAGCTGCAGCCGTACGTCCCAGCCCCAAGGACAGCACGTTCCATCCCCAGCAGCAGTAACAGTAACGGTGCCCCTTGCCAGAGCCCGACACTGGCCAGCTTCCTCTTGGTGAGGGACCAGCAGTTCCCAGGGTCTATCGCAGCCTCGCTGACACCCCAGACACAGCCGTCTGTTCTTTCCCGTGAGCTCTGTGTGTGCGTGGCGTCCCTCTAGGCCACAGCCTCTGAATCCGTGCTGCTGTTGGTCATCAGCATTAGGAGCATCCCTTATGTCCGCACGGTACTCACAGCCTATGAGGCACTCTTGTAATTGTCGCATCACATCTCAGGGACAAGACCTTATTCCCGTGTCATTTCTCTGGGGTTCATCTCCAACTCCTCCCAGCTCGTCACCACAGGGCAGGGCCTCCCCGTCACCGGGCTGTGACACACTCTCCCCGCACACAGCCACTAGTGGTAGTGACTTACCTGTGTCTGCAGGTGCCTGCTCCAGCCTTGCGGTGACCCATGTGCCCTGTGGGCCGGCTGTCTTCCCCAGCCTGTCCTGGTCCCTGCTCCTCAGGGACTGTAATTGAAGCACGTGCCACTGTGGTTGCTGCGTCCTCACCTCCTCTCCTGCTCTGTTCGTGCTTCGAACTGTCACCATGTTTGGGAACCAAGGGTTCTGACTTCTGTGCCTGCCTCTGTGTCCTGTGCCCTCAGTAATCCTTTGTCTCCGCCCATGTAGAAACTTCTAGGTAAGCATCAGTGTCCCCATTTTATGGATGAACAGACCGAGGCTCAGAGTACTTGAGAGGCGTCTCTGTTGTCACACAGAATCAGGGGCAGGGGGCCACCGTTCATCAGCTATGCTGAGGCTCCTTCCCCAGACAGGAGGTGGGCCTGGCCATATGGGTAGACAGGACCAGTGTCCTCTCCAGCCACCCGGGGACTCCTCCCACATCAGTGTCCTGCATGAGCACCCCCGGGAATGGTTGTGCAGCCGGTGCACAGCTGAGGGAGCACCGTGCACACAGGAGACACCACAGGCCTCTGTGTGTTACAACACACTTCCACCACATAGTTAACACGCGTCTTACTCTGTCGCACTCGGTATGTCAGAGCACTTTCCCAACACTAAGGGATGGAGAGGGTCTTAGGCCGGAGCGCTGCCCCGGCAGCATGGCCTGGGCTGCTGGTGCCGTGCTCCCCAGCCCACCAGAGTGCCCTCTCTGGGCCTCCCTTTCCTCATGTGCACGATGTGGGGCTGGCCTGGAGGGTGGGTGAGGTCCTCTCACCTGCATGCTGTGGGCTCTGGTAAGCCTCTGCTGACTGTCCCCGGCAGTGTGGGCCGCCACTGTGCGCCCCAGCCCTGCCCGCTCTTGACACCGTGTCTGGTCCTCAAGGCAAAGAAGCCCCCGTGAGCCGAGGACGCCATGGCCACGTCGGCCCCACTGCGCAGCCTGGAGGAGGAGGTGACCTGCTCCATCTGCCTGGACTACCTGCGGGACCCCGTGACCATCGACTGCGGCCACGTGTTCTGCCGCGTCTGCACCAGCGACGTGCGCCCGGCCCCGGGCGGCCGGCCCGTCTGCCCACTCTGCAAGAAGCCCTTCAGGAAGGAGAGTATCCGGCCCGTGTGGCAGCTGGCCAGCCTGGTGGAGAACATCGAGCGGCTGCAGGTGGACAAGGACAGGCAGCCCGGAGAGGGGGCCCGGGAGCAGGCGGACGGCAGGCTGTGCGAGCGGCACCGCGAGAAGCTGCACTATTACTGCCAGGACGACGGCAAGCTTCTGTGCGTCATGTGCCGCGAGTCTCGGGAGCACCGGCCCCACTCGGCCGTCCTCGTGGAGAAGGCTGCCCAGCCCCACAGGGTGAGCCCTCCACGCCCCTCCCCCCACACGCCCCGCGGCCCCACCTCCCTCCCCAACCCGGAGCACCCACCTGTCCCCACCGCCCGTCTCCCCACAGGAGAAGATCCTGAACCACCTGAGCACCCTCAGGAGAGACAGAGACAAGATTCAGGGCTTTCAGGCAAAGGGAGAAGCCGACATCCTCACCGCCCTGGTAAGTGAGGCTGTCAGCACAAAGCCTGCGGCAGCTGGCTGTGCGGAGGGGGAGCTGGGAGGCTGTGCAGGGGAGGCCGTGCCGGGAGGCTGAGCAGGGGAGGCCCTGCCGGGAGGCTGAGCAGGGGAGGCCCTGCCGGGAGGCTGAGCAGGGGAGGCCCTGCTGGGAGGCTGTGCAGAGGAGGCCGTGCCAGGAGGCTGAGCAGGGGAGGCCCTGCCGGGAGGCTGAGCAGGGGAGGCCGTGCCGGGAGGCTGAGCAGGGGAGGCTCTGCTGGGAGGCTGAGCAGGGGAGGCTGAGCAGTGTCAGCCAAGCAGGAGAAGCTCTGCCGGGAGGCTGTGCTGGGAGGCTGAGCAGGGGAGACCAAGCAGGAGTGGTTGAGCAGGGGAGGCCCTGCCAGGAGGCTGAGCAGGGAAGGCCCTGTTCAGAGGCTAAGCAGGGGAGGCCAAGCAGTGGAGGCCAAGCAGGAGAGGCTGAGCAGGGGAGGCTCTGCCAGGAGGCTGAGAGGAGAGGCTGTACTGGGAGGCTGAGCAGGGAAGGCCCTGATGGGAGGCTGAGCAGTAGAGGCCAAGCAGGGGAGGCCCTGCCAGGAGGCTGACCAGGGAAAGCTGTGCTGGAAGGCTGAGCAGTGGAGGCCAAGCAGGAGAGGCTCTGCTGGGAGGCTGAGCAAGGGAGGCTGAGCAGTGGAGGCCAAGCAGGAAAGGCTCTGCTGGGAGGCTGAGCAGTAGAGGCCAAGCAGGAGAGGCTCTGCTGAGAGGCTGAGCAGGGGAAGCTGAGCAGTGGAAGCCAAGCAGGAGAGGCTGTGCTGGGAGGCTGAGTAGTGGAGACCCTGCCTGGGAGGCTGAGCAGTGGAGGCCAAACAGGAGAGGCTGAGCAGAGGAGGCTGTGCTGGGAAGGCTGATCAGGGGAGGCCCTGTTCAGAGGCTAAGCAGGGGAGGGTGAGCAGGGGAGGGTGAGCAGTGGAGGCTGTGCCGGGAGGGTGGCTTTGGGCTGGCGTCCTCATCTGCTGCAGGAATGGTGGCCCTGTGTCAGCTAAGGTTCCTTCTGTGTGACTCACCATAGTTGTGGGTCCCGTCTGGCAGCTGCCGCTGTTGTGCTAGGGATGGCCAGAGTGTAAGGGACCAACGAGGTCCTGGCTGAGTCCTTCCTGTCAGAGGGGGAGGGAGATGAGATTCTGACGGTGGAGGGGAGCCGGAGGGTTTGGGAAGAGGGAGGAGGCCAGGGACGGCCTGAGCGGCTCTGAGAACACTGTGGATGCTGAGTCCTGTCCCAGGACCGCCGCCCACAGTCAGAATGCAGAAGCAGCACAGCACGTGCATGATTAGGAACGGGTCAGGAGGACATGTTCCAGGTTCCTGGGGGAGCGTCAGTGTCAGGGAGCTGTGTGCTGCAGGGATATGGAGGCCCCACAGCGAATGATGAGACCCTGGGGGAGAAGGGTGAGGCAGGAGCTGGCCCAAGTCCAAGGAGCCCCTGTGCCCTCACTGTGCATGGACATCAGTCAACAGGGGTTCTAACTCTGGCCAGACTCCAGCCTGCACTAAGCAGGGAGATGTGGAGGCAGGAAAGGACATGGTCCCTGAACACAGATATTCCATGGTTTCACTGAGGGAATAGGATGCAGTCCAATGAGGCAGAGCTCGGGGACATATTTTGTACGTCACGCGTAAGCTGGGGGGGGCCCTGGATGGGGGCGGGAGCAGAGCCTGCGGGGATTCTCCACCCACAGCAGAGGAGTCATGCCCTTCTGCCCTTCTTGTGCCCGCAGAAGAAGCTCCAGGACCAGAGGCAGGACATAGTGGCTGAGTTTGAGCAGAGCCACCAGTTCCTGAGGGAGCGGGAGCGGCACTTGCTGGACCAACTGGCGAAACTGGAGCAGGAGCTCACGGAGGGTAGAGAGAAGTACAAGACCAAGGGTGTCTCGGAGCTGGCCCGGCTAGCCCTGCTCATCTCTGAGCTGGAGGGCAAGGCCCAGCAGCCAGCAGCAGAGCTCATGCAGGTGAGCAATCTTCCCAGGGTAGGGGCGGGAGGCCAGGGCGCTGGGTCCCTACCCCACCACTCACCTGCGGGACCTGGGGACACGCACCCACTAGGTCTGTGCCCCACCGCTCACCTGGGGGACCTGGGGACACGCACCCACTAGGTCTCTGCCCCACCGCTCACCTGGGGGACCTGGGGACAC